TAACATCTACTGCAAGCCGATGCGGCTCTTTGCATAGACGTTTGCGGCTCTTCGGACACAAACTCCAATTTCATCTCACCTCATTTCACCTCAGCCTTATGAGTTTACGAGATAGAGCCGCCGGACAAACTTCGACTTGTTCTCCGTCCGCAGATGACCACACTCGCGTTGATCAATATGAGTCGCACAAGAGTGGTAGCATTTGAAGCATATCTATATATATAACCCATTGAACGCGTGTCCGTCCATCCGTGTAACGTTATGCCGAAAACGGCCACTAGAGGCGCCTCTGTCGTGTGTCGTATTTCGCACATTTAAATTAATATGCGGCTCTCTGGTACTTTTGTTATCCTGTTTTCATGACAATTTGGCTCTTTTCACTTGACAAACTGCCGACCCCTGTCCTAGACCAAGGATGACAAACCTTTTTGAGTCTGCCTGCCATATAACAAGCAATTATTTTTCAAAATGTTACGTGTCAAAGTTTTAGATCTCGATAATTTTTTAAATAAATATAATGAACATGTTTTAATTAGAATTAATGTAAACTGATTGAGAAAAGTATGATGATATACTGGCTGGATATAAAATCATAATGAAAAACAGAAATTTAGAAGTAAAAAGTAAACGAAATCGTACATGTTACGTGCCAAATAATTTCTCCCGACGCGCCACTTTAGGCACGCGTGCCGTGTATTCGTCATCCTTGTCGTAGGATAAAAAGTGCGTCATTAAGCTCAATCAAACTTTGTCTCCGTAATACTATTTTTTTATACTCTTTCTGCCCTGTGGGCGCTAAGAGGGCATCTTATAGTGGACCCATTATGGGTTCGGCCAGACCACAATGGTGCGACCGGGTGGTGAGGGACGGAGTCCGACATATCCGAACGGACCACCTCCCCGAAAATTTCCTGGGGTTTCCTTGAACCGACTGGATTCGATCCCGGGTCCACCAGAGTGGTGGGTTGCCACCTTGACCGCTCGGCATCCGGCCGTCTCTCCGTAATACTATCATACATTATACTAGTTTTTTCGGCAATAATTGTAACAAGTTTTTCGTACTGCAGAAGAAAAAACTGCAAGATAAATGTATTTAATAACATAAGGCTAAATTCGCAGTATGCCTATTAATAAGTATCAATAAAAAAATGCATTAAGATATTAGATCTATAAAAACCACTGTATTTTTTTTTTTACATTTTTGGGCCCGGAGTGTCAAAACGTCAAGAAATGGAAAAAAAAATCAATGAGGAAAGATGAAAACTTGACCGATCACACACTTTTCCTATGTTAATATTCTATAATGCCGGAAAAGTAAAATTTGTGTTTCTTTTGAAACAATAAAAATAATTAATTACTATATTATTTTAGTTTTAGTATTTCATATTATCAATATCTTTCAGAAATTATGGTTTTCAGATTAAAAACAGGTTTTAAATATTTCTTTTTAAGTATTTTCCGATTTAGTTATTTCGTTTTTACCGAAGACCTACATTAGTAACTGTTTTCACTAATCAAAAGCAGCCCACCAGTGGCCAAGAGATCTTCGTCCTGAACACTGGGAGTTTGGTCGTGGATTCACGCGTGGAGTTTTCCGGGTTTTCTCTGCGTATGTAACGCCCAAATAGGGGCCAGTTTTCCTTAAAAATACCTCCCGAAAGGCGTCCCCCAAGGCAGATCGCCTAAGCGTTGCGTTGCCAGAAACAAACGCTAATCAAAAGAGATCCGAAAATTTTTGCTTTTACGGAAAAAGGCAAAAAGCAAAATTAGCGTTTGTCTTTTATTTTGCAACGAGCCATTTTAAGCCGAATTCACACGTTCCGGTGGTGCATACCTGGTATGTTTACCAGTACGACTTTAAGAGGCAATGTGCATCCTTAGCAGAGAGAAGCAACTTCAAGCTCTTTCCTCGGTACTACGTTCGGCCTCTCAGCATTAATTAAGCGTCATAGCTTTGAACCGTGTCTGCAAGCACCTGTGCTTTACCTATTTATTTTGCTCATCCGTTAGAGAAATGTTTCCTAAAATGTAGTTCTTAGGACACATTTGATTTGGTAGGTTAAATTTTTGATTGGAAATACTGAAAAATTTTCTAATATAAATTTATGATAATTAGTTCTTCGCTTTAGCCATTTCGTAGGGACGCTCTATTTTCGGATAGCAGAGAACTTGTGTATCTTTATTACAATGTTATCACACATAAGTTCAAAATTTAACCCATTAAAAATTATTTAAATTTACAATTCGATATCAAAAAATTAATAATAATTTTTAAAACTTTGAAAGCATTTTTCATTGAACTTCTATCAACATAAACTAGAAAATCTGTTATTCAAATATAAACCNTTAATGATGTTGTAGATGAGACGGTTTTACAGTGCCATGTTTTAATTTAAAATTAAAATCTAAAGTTTTACAGTCATTATATTTAAGAGATTCTTCTGGTTTATCTTGATTATTTACATCTAATAGTTTTCCTATCAGTTTGTTTTCTATTTCTTTATAATAAATGATTATTTCTTTGATTTGTCTGATTAATATTTTAAATTTCTGTATTTTTCCTAAATTTACTGTTGGTAGCGAAGTTTTCTTTAGTTTAGGTTTTGCCAATAAACTTAATACAGTACTGTATATGATNGGACCTCAAGGTCTTGAGTCGAGTAAGTGGTAGGAGAGGGACATCCTCGTAAACATCCTACCCCCGATTAGTCTCACACATTTAAGAGAAGACAGATATCGTGTTTTTTTTCACCTGTAGCCTGGAAGATTTCTAATTCGTTTTCGAGAATATCTTCGAGATTGCCTTCTTTTGCTCTAGTATTCTTGATTTGTCTACCTCGGCTGCTTTAATAGCGGCATCCAGCTTATAGCCCGATAATTCGGTAATTCATTTGGCTTTAATAATCAGGTTTATGAAGAAAAACTTCATACTTACAGACTTCGCATTCGTTTCTATCCTTGCCCAAACGCAGTTATCGAAGCTACTGAGCATGATTAAAAATTAAGACGGCATAATCACAATTATTCCAGATATTACAGGTTCTGACAAGAAAAGAATTTTCAGAGTCCTGCCACAAATAGGATACATATTGAATATTTACCATTTGTGACATGCCATAACGAACAAAAATTTAAAAAACTAATAAGTAGGTTTAAAATTAATACAAATGTATTCTAACAGTTTATGAGTTAATTATACTTTCTATTTGCAAAATTTCCTCAGTCCTAACACAAGAGAAAAAATGAATTTTTAAGAAATTTGCGGGATTTCCCAGGTTAAAAAAACAATCTGGATCCCATTTGAGAAACCTTACTATTAATAAATAAATTGTGTGTGGTGCCGTCTGTTATGGCATTTTATCATAAAAACATTTTTATATTAGTAATTAATTACCTAATATTATAACATGGCAAAACACTTAATTTTGACCATGTAAAATTTGGTGCAGATCGGGCAACTGGTTTGGGAGTTAAATTAATAAGTGGCATGAAATCAGGGAAGAGATGGGGTATGTAAGTTTCCGCTAGTCTATATTTTCCTCAGGGTCCCAGAGAATAAGTATGAAAATTTAAATTTCTATATTAATTAAATTTAAAATAAGATTTCATTTACTGGTCTTCATTTTAATTGTTTTTAATAAAGTTTACTATTCTAATTGTTTTATCATTGTTCTGAATTAACAATAAATTAGTTTCGCAAAGACATTTAATAAATTAAGATGAATAGTAAATCAAAATTTAAAACTAACATTGCCGAAGACGATTGCTCGAATAGAATGGAGTATCTTCTACCCAACCAGCAAGCTCCAGAGTTTTCGGGAATTGCCGTAATTAACGAAGAATTTAAGGAAATTAAATTATCTGATTACAGAGGAAAATATCTGGTTTTTATTTTCTATCCTTTGGACTTTTCGTGCGTTTGTTCAACAGAATTAATGGCCTNAATATATTTCAGAAAACCCGAATAAATTAAAAATCCATCAATATAAAAACGAATACAATATTAACGTTAGAATTCATAAACTTTGTACCATAAATACAGTCGACCCCCCTATAACACTGTTGATAATTCCGTTTTATATGAATTCCATGTTTTACGAGTTGTACAGTGTACATGTTGTCATTGAACAGAATCATCAAAATCTAAGTGACAACATTGTACATGTTGTCACTTAGATTTTACAAATGCGTGAGCCGTTCACAGCCCGGCACACGTATTTGTAAATCTAAGTGACTCGTACAACATGGAATTCATATAAAACGGAATTATCAACAGTGTTATAGGGGGTCGACTGTATNTAAGATTTCATTTACTGGTCTTCATTTTAATTGTTTTTAATAAAGTTTACTATTCTAATTGTTTTATCATTGTTCTGAATTAACAATAAATTAGTTTCGCAAAGACATTTAATAAATTAAGATGAATAGTAAATCAAAATTTAAAACTAACATTGCCGAAGACGATTGCTCGAATAGAATGGAGTATCTTCTACCCAACCAGCAAGCTCCAGAGTTTTCGGGAATTGCCGTAATTAACGAAGAATTTAAGGAAATTAAATTATCTGATTACAGAGGAAAATATCTGGTTTTTATTTTCTATCCTTTGGACTTTTCGTGCGTTTGTTCAACAGAATTAATGGCCTTCAGCGAAAGAATACGCGAATTCAGGCAAATCAATTGCGAAGTATTGGCCTGTTCCACGGATAATCGTTTCTGTCATCGAGCCTGGATAAACACCGAAAAGGAGAAAGGTGGATTGGGAAGAATATGCTTTCCGCTGTTGGCCGATAAAAGTTTTGAGATCTCTAGAGCCTTTAAGGTGTTGAACGAGGACGAAGGAGTCGCATCGAGAAGTCTGTTCATTATCGATAATAAAGGCAAAGTGAAACATTCCACCACCAATGACACTGCTATCGGAAGATCGGTAGACGAAACATTGAGACTGGTCCANCTGCAATGAACTATTAATATTTGTGTTACGTCAGAGTGTTCTTGTCCGAATCTTCCAAGTACTTCTATGTTTGTAGGAACTTCCATTTTAGTGTATGAATATTGTGCTGCAAGTAACATGTGATTAGTTAGAAGTTAGAACTCTTTCTACATGAAATGACTGTATGCAGCAACTACACCTGAAGACGTGCAAAGTAACTCTTATAGATTATTAGTGTTAATTATTCTAAGCTTTATTTTGTTTGGACTACAGTATTATATCATCATATATATTTGTATGTGAAATTTATATTAACATCTACTGCAACAATATATATTATACTTTACATATTTCTGTTAATTGACTATTACTTATTATGTTTAATTTTAAGTTGTTAATCTAGCTTATTATTTATAATGNCAGTGACATTTAATTAAAATTTCAAAAATATACACATCAAGGAGAAAATATAAAAATTTTCCAACAGTCTTTATCAAACAGACAGTGATTCATTATTATAAATATTAATACGTTGTTATTTTCCTGAATATTTTAATTTTTAACTTCCTGGTAGGTGACATCATCGAGTCATGACGTCATTATCTCAGGCGGTGACGGTAATGGCGACGAAAATGTCATTTGCTTAGTATTTTAATCGTGCAATGTCATTCTCGGCATAATGGTAGATAGATTGGTTAGAGATGACACTAGAACCAGACGAGAAAGGCGCGCGCAAATTATTAGAGACACCAGAGTTAGGTCATACGAAAGTAAAATGTGTTCTCGTAGGTGATAGTTGTGTTGGAAAGACAAGTCTTGTCGTTAGTTACAGCACTAATGGTTACCCAAACGAATATATTCCCACCGCTTTTGATAATTATTCAGGTAATTATATTTTCTATTTATGTATCGCTAATGTTGAATGTTTTACATCTACAAATTTAATATTGTTAAAAAGTCAATTTTATTCTGACTAGTATTCTCAACTAACTTGTGAATATCATAAAACATATGGGTAAAGGTTTATCACTTTAATATTTATATTATTCAAATATTCCTTGTTACTTTAATGCATCTAAGGATGACTGAGAACACAGAATAGTTACAGATTAAATTTGCTCTTTTAAATGACTTTAAATATGTGGAGCTTAATATGTATGTCAAATGTATAAGAGGAAATTTATTGTCTGCGAAAAGTTTTAAAATATCTGAACTGTGCAGTTGTATTTGGGGAGTATTTTTTTTAAAAATAAATTGTGTATGATGATGCCTTGGTTTATCAACAAAAACCGAGGCATCATCGTCTGTCATATCTGTCTGAAAACAATTGGCAAAATCCGAAACCGACGAAAACTGAGGCAATTATTTCTGTGTGAATCAATATAAATCCAATTAATTCATTCTAGACACTCCAGAATGCATACCAAAAACACATTTTATACAGAATATAGTGTTTAATACTAAATAAGAAATGAATATAAAATGAATATAAAAAAACTAATGTCAAATATTCATTTATTCTTTACAATGAGGTTACGTGGGCACACTGGTGAAAATGAGACAAATTTTTCGCAGGAAAAATTGATGAAAACCAAAACCGACAAGAACCGAAGTCAATGAAAACTAAAGTATTACTGTATATGTAAAGTTAATTATAATCAACTGCTCAAAACTGGGTATAATTNTTTCATCCATATACATCATTACATCAATTCCTATTCACTCCAAACAATTCACATTATAAATTATGAAATATACTTAATTTGTATTTTATATATATGTATATAGACGTTAAATTCCAAAAACTAATTTACTTTAACTCTCCCTTGTTTTTAAAATGGGACGACAGTTTGTTTAATATATTAATTTTGTTAAAACTTACTTCTCTTTTTGACATTTTTGACATCTGGTGTCGGGAATCCTGACTGCAGATCGGGATTTTATCATCATTGATCTCGAACATCTTTATAACCATACTCTGTTGAAAATTCCTGGAGTGTCCCAAAGCCATTTTGGCGTACCATGGGTGTCAGCCACATGGGGCGGAGGGAAATTTCGCTCTCCCTTATTTAGGTATTTCAATTTAAAAGACTAAAATTCAGTTTTGTCACAGAACAAGCAATGAAATTCCGTGCTAGTGCAGCGAACTGTTTAAAATAGTTCTTTTGAATATTAGTGGTGTATATGAACACGAATGAATCGTAAAGGCAAAAAAGGGGGGCTACAGGTTTCGCAGGATTTCCTCGGATTAAAAATTACTAGTTCACTGGGACGGCGAGCCGACAGTCCGGACGATAGCACTATCGTAGGCGCGATGCAAATATAGATTAGGATGTTTCAAATTTTTACAAGATAATATTATTATTTATTGTGAAATTTTGCCGCCCCCTAAAAAGTGCCGCCCCTGCCGCCCCCACTACGGTACGCCACTGCAGTAATGAATTCTGAATTCGAATTAGGGATAGCCCACATGTCCACAAAATACTAATAACTTTAATAAAGCGAATTTCTAAGCGATAATTTGCTTATTTAATGGAAAATTTTGCGAAAGGTTAGATAAAATAATTACCAAGTAATGTATTATAATTTCTCTATTAATTTTACAAATATTTATTTCATTGTAAATTCTTTTCTTTCCACTTTTAGTGGGCGATTGGTTGAAGATAAGGAGGAGCATGGATTAAATAATAACGTTATGGTTCCTCCAACAAAGATCGAAGTGAATAAAGACTTCAGAAAGCAAGAGGATAGCACGGAGAATAGTTTTGGATATAATATTGGCTATTCTATTGGATATACCATTGGATGTGCTATTGAGATAGAAAGGCATTGAAAAAAGCCGGATCTTTCTTCAAGGCAGTATGGAAACCAGTCAAGAGGTAAGTTTCTGTATATGTCAGTACAAACAAAGTTCGATTTAGCTCGGTCATTCGTTCGCCGTTACAATTCTCACTGAATCCAATATGATGCTAATCCAAAGTACCTCAAACAGCAACAATTATACACAGTATTAAGATGTACACAGAGATTTGAGCTTGAAACCTTCGTAATTTTTATGAGAATGGCATAACTTTCCTATATTTTTGGCGCTACATCGAGATTTACCAAACTAGTTTCATTTCTAATCCAATGAAAAGATAAGCTACAAATGAAAACAATAATAACGAGCAATTATTTATTGTGACATAGTCACAATGTCGGGCTACAATTTTTTATACAGGAAATTTATATTGTAGTACAATTTTTCCAAATTGCAGCCCAATAATTATAAAGCTTTTAAAATAGTAAAATTGAATTTAAAATATCGCTGAAAGAATATCATTTAGAATGAATAAATATAACAGTGTTTGATTCTCAATTTGATATAATATAACATTTACAATTAATCAACATAAATACAGCCGAACATCGATATTGCGCTCTCGATATGTTTTGATAAAATTCATATTCAGATATAGGTTTTCAATAAATAATTTAAACTTGTTTTTCACATTCCAGATCAGCGCAAAAGGTGTGGAAAAACATGAAGACTGGAGAAACTGAATACGTTCAGTTTGAATAAGGATCTCTTTTTCTCCATCATTGAATCAAGTATAGGATTTATCTGCTTGATTTCGTCCGACTTCGTCTCGGGTAAGTGTTTAATCGGAATATTTTTGTATTTTATACTCAGCACTTACGAGATTTTCCACTATCAACTTATAAATTAAACACCATTTATATCCCCAATGTACCACCAACACACAATGGCCAGGTAACAGGAGAACAGGAAACGTGTATTAACATGGAGATACATTATGTTCTTCATACGATTCAGATTTTACATATAGACAGACTAGGCTAGGCTTTTAAAGCATTAGAAATACATATATACAGTATATGTATATTTTTGTCCAAGTATCGACAAAAATATATTCTGAAAGTGTACTAGTCTCGTAACATAGGAAAGTAACAGCGTAAATGGGAGTAAAGATTAAAATATTCAGCAAGTTTATGTGAATATGAGTACACGAAGATTCTAAAGTGATCAAATTAATCATAATATATTTGAATCATAATAAATGACACAATAGTAGCGAATTAACAATTATGCACTGAATAATTTTCGCTTTATTCGTATATAAATGATTTTAGAAGGAAATAAATTTAATGATTTAAAAATTATTTAAATAATTGAATATTTCAGATAAAAATATTGATTATTTTCATTTTATTTTCACAGATTTTAGAAGAAATTTAGAGATTTTCATCTCTATGCAGTGTACATACACTGTTTTCTTTATTTGTTATGTTTACTGTTTTGTTTGTGTTTGTTCGTTTTCAATTTAAAAAAAAAAATTTAATTTAAAATTTAAAATATATTTCTTGATTAATGAAATTGATCACTTGTATTGAGAATGGTTTGAATACTTCTAATTATATGGACTTATCGACTGTGGCTTCCTCAAACTTGACTTTATCTCGATTATGGCACTTTTAACTCAATTGTGACTTCCTTAATTTTGACGTTATCCCGATTTTGATTATAATTTTAATTATATCCCGATTGTGACGTCTCGAATATTGATTTTAACTGGATTGTGACTTCACCAATTTTGACTTCCAATTGCGTCCTCTCGAACATTGTCTTTACTTTGATTGTGACTCTTCTAATTTGAATTTCTAATTGTGTCTACCCGAATTTCGGCTTTCCATAATTGTGTTCGTTGTTTTTATTTTGTTGATGATGAAATTATTTGCCAAGTGTCAATAAATTCACCAAGTCGTGACGTTGAACCAAACGAAACAAGGAGAAAAAGACAAGGTTTCGACAAATAAATAAAACAAGATATTCTGAAATATTAAAGGATACACATAATGAAATGGTAATTGGAATTATTCTTATGAAATAACAAATTTTAAATAAATGTAGTTAAGCATTGTTTGTCGTTTTCAGATTACGGATCCTGATCCTGAACTTCTATGATTAAGAAGTACTCGGAGAGTTCGAGAGAAAGAACTTCAAAAATTTTCAACAAGCAAACAACATGGATTCATTCGAATTACATTAAATTAAACGCGTGCATAGTGCAGCTGCAAAAGAAAGAAATTTTAATCAATTTAAGAATGCTTCGGGAAGATGTTCTCTCCACAGGCCTTGCATCAATTTGAAAACTTCTAAATTAATCATCTTTATACAAAGATAGTTTGATGAATGATTAAATGCGACCAGAATAATAATATTTAAAAAGTACAAATTGTCTCTGTAAATACTTTTCGTTGTCTAATAAACACTTTTGTTTGATTTTGCTTCCAATTATTTCAAGATCACAAAATCTTGTCGTTATTTTTCTACTTTAGGTTAAAATTAAACGTGAAAAGCTTGTCGAATAATTGGAGTGGTGTAGCTTTGTGCCAGGTTCTAGATAAGTATGTGAAATGTTTACCCACTTCCAATTTATCAGTGTATAAAGTATTTAAGTACAAGTTGTTTATGAGTACATACGTGTCACAAAAAGAACAGTTTTTTTTTAAATGTTCATATTTCCAATATCAGTATATATTGTTCTATCAGAGACAGTATACGTGGCATATATAATTAAAATACTGGGTATATATACAGTTTATTATTTATCTTTGCAACTGTAAAAATATCATTTTAATCGAATTCTAAATAGCAAACGGATTGGTCACTTTAAATGACACAAAAATTACGACAACACGTATATACTAGTAAATTAATTAATTATTAATTCATCAAGAAACGACAAAGAAAGATAAAACTTGTTATGAACGGTAGGGTGGACAAAGGTCGTTTAGACAGAGTTCGAATGTCCAGTTTCCAAGGCGATTTACTTCAAGGGGTGAGAAATGTGTTCGATATTCTTGCATTTATACAGCATAAT